TTTAATTAACTAAAAAATGATAAAAAAAATAATATGATAAATACATAAATAAATATAAATAATATATATAAATGAATATATACTATTTATTTATTACTTGTTATTTTTTGATGAATCATGCACAACAAGACCAGAAACTGGTCAAATAAACCATTTTGATTTCATGTTGACTAAGAAAAAAAGAAATGACAAACAACTTACTGCAAGTAAGAGCGATTGTGCAACCACATGGCCACGAACATCACTATCATCAACAGACAGAAACTGAAAACAACTCCAAGAACGATGTACGCGGAGTCGGGACGACGGGGAATCGGAGTCGAGGATGGAGACTCGGGCGATTCTGAAAGCAAAACACACACGCAATAATAAACAACTGCATTAACAAATAGGCTGGCATATGTACTTTTAACTAAGGTCAGCATAATACTAAACCTCTAAAATGTATTGGCCAATGTATTATTATCCTCTATGTTGCATACTCCTGTTGAATCTCACTAATGGCTTTTTATCCAAAAGCTCAGTTCAGCAGCTTGAGGTTTTCATCTGTTAACTCATGTGTCCTTTGTTTATGACCCTCTTTTGGTCCAAAATAATGATATCACACAAGAGTGATTTAACTTCAGCTGTTTAACTGCATAAGCGTTTGGTTGTTTCCCAAACAAAAATCCCTCCTGACTGTTGCAAGACTATTTGTATTTAATTGACTGCATATTTAAAGAGGCTTTTAAACGTTATAATCAACTGGAAACGTTTCTTAGGGGAATCTATGCACGTATGCACTGCAATTCATTTGCAAATCAAGACGAGTTCAGCAGGATGCTTTCCTGAGTAAAGCAGTAATTCAGGTTTCCTGCAGTGCTTTTGAGTATCAAAAATATATTTCATTAAAACTGATTCCAGGAACTGCATTAGTGCCATGGGCTAGACTGTTAAGATGGTAATTGCAGGAAAGCTGTTATTTTTTTTGTCTAGACTTGGTAAAAATATGAATGCATTTAAAGGACCTTCTTAAGTAATAATAAATAAATAAATAAAAATAACATAATAAATGGAATGAAAATAACATTTAAACAATTATATAAAATTATAATGAATATACATTATATAAAAATCCATAAATATAAATGATATAAAATATAAATAATATATTAAACAAACAAATAAATAAATCCACCTCACATATCAGTTACCTGGGACAATAGTCAAATTAATAAAAAAAAAAAAAGATACAAAATTACATAAAAAAACAAAACAAATTTAATTAAAATAAAATTATAATACTATACAATTATTATATAAACTAATATACAATAATATCAATGATATAAAATATATAAATATAAATTACATAAAATATGAATTAAATAATAACAAACCAAAAAATAAATCCACAGTGGATTCATTCACCATCAGTTACCTGGGACAATAGTCAATTATACAGAAAATGATTAAGAAATTATTAAAAAATATGAAATAAAATATAAAACAAACAATCCAATTAAAAATAAATATTCAAAAAATAAAAATTAAATAGAAAGATTAAATATTTTTATTTATTGTATGTATTTCTTGATCATTTTCTGTAACTGATGTCCACTGTGGATTTATTCGTTCGTTCGTTCGTTCGTTCGTTCGTTCGTTCGTTCAGTTTCACTGCATTGCAATATTTTGTTACATCATTCTAATACTTAAGGGTTTCTTGCATCTACTCACCAGCATCTAGTACAAAGAGACTGTTGCTAGATATTTTGGTCCCACAGCCGCTCTGAGTGCAGGCCACCACCTCCACACTGTATGTGGTGTTGAACACCTGCAGCGTCACCGTGGCCTCTGTGGTGATGCTGTGAATCTAAAACACACATTTCCACACAGACTTTACAATATTTTTTATCATTGTATGGTCAAAAGTCTAGCACAGACTGGCGTGAATCTCCATGCTGGTTCAAGCTGGCTTATACTACTATATTTCTAATATTATTAGAAAATACGGGATTAGTTTCCACTGTTATGCCGATGATACTCAACTATATATCTCAACAAGACCAGATGAAACTTCTAAATTATCGTACAAATAAACTTGACTTGACTTGACTTGACTTATACTAGTTTGGTATTCAGACTGAAGCAACTAAATTTACTTTATATTTTTGATTCACAATTTATATTTTTTGAAAAATCATGCTGAAATGTGAGCATCAGATATGGTCATCGGGCTTTTGAGGAACGTTTATTTGTTCATCTCTCAATCATCATTGCATTATATGTTTTGATCATAAAACTGAGCATTTGAATATATTCTTACTAAGATATTATTGGGAGATATAGATTGACAACTGGTATTTATATGCATTTTATGTAAGTATCTGCTATACTGTTATAAAGATCTCATCGATTTACATTACAAGCTATCAGAATCTGCACCAAACTGCATACTCATTTTGGGCCTCTGAATAAAATTGATGTGCTTTTTCCTTCTCAAGCTCCATATTCTCACTATATCATATTATATGAGCCATAAAAGCTTGATGCACCAAATATGAACTTTTGTTTCATTTCTGCTATATTTTGTCTAAAGGTTAACCATTTTATTTCAAAAAATGAGATTTTTCTGAATATTATTTCATGTCAGGCTTTACAGGGTTAAACTAGTTACATAGCATCATGAGTTAAACATCACAGCAGCATTTTCAAATGCTAAAGGCCACTCAAATATAGTATCAAGTCATTCTTCCTCTTTCAATTCAAGATTTTACAAGATTACACTCCAAAAATAAGTCGTATTAAGGAAATACAGTTTAGTATTACAGGTAAGAAACCCTTTTGTGTGAAATCACACCAAAAACAGTGTAAAAACAAAACTTAAAGGCTGGATGAAAAAAGAGAAGCTGTTTTTGGTGAGCCATGTGCTTGCAGGATGCAGGAAGTTTAACGCATGCACACACACACACACACACACACACACACAAAGAGATGCATGTGACACATCCATGCTGCTGGTTGCGTAAAGCTGCCACTGTCACTCCTGTTCCCAAAATCTCTCAGACATGCTGACACTTACACGAGTCAGTGAGTCTTCAACATGCTGTCAGTCGCTTTTACATCCACAAATGAAAAACTGCATCTGCACTTCTCCAAAAACAAGAAGCGAGTTGTTCTAGGGGCCCTGAGAAGTCCACACGGTGTGGTTTAGGGGTATTTAGGGTGCGTGCGACTGCATGTAAATGTCTGCTATGCCTCTGCTCAGAGATTTACACTGCAATTAAATTTGTTTTTCTAGTCAATCCTTCCTTAAATCATAAACCTGAATGTCCTCCAGGTGTCTCGGGATGAATTTTTTAAAGATTACCTTAATTTATGCACATTACTGTTGGCCATGCATGAGAAGCAACACAATAGATTAAGGTTAAATAGATGCTAAAAAAGAAAAACAAACCAAAAAGAAAAACTAATCCTGACCCAGCCACTGCGATAAGCCACTTCTGGTCGTCTAGCTCACATAATGGCTTCCTGTTTTTTACAGGTCCTTAAGTTTTTCAATCCTTGCCCTCCATTTATTGAAGGAACCCCGGATTACTGTGAGAAAAGCAAACTCAGCAGTTATATTTAAAACCAGCCTAAAACAACATGCTTTTCAAACTCGCCAAGAAATTGATTGACTAAAACACACTCATTTAGTGAAAATAAACCTGATCACTTCCTGCAGTGCATTACTGTCTCAATCATCTGCAGTGGATCTGCAGTGCACTTAATGAAAATATATTTATTTGGACTTCTTCAATGGTTTAGGGCCTAAACCAAAATACATTCTCAGCTACCTTTAATGTAAATGTACCCTTAATACAATGACTTAGTTATTTAAATCAGCATAACTGAACAATTCCAGGAACTGGATTAGAATTGCCACGTGCAAAACAAAACAAAACAAAACAAAAACAAAAAACAAAAAACAAAACAAAAAATTATTTTTATTTTGGGGTGAAAAATTACCTTGTACCAGAGTTATCATTATTATTATTGTTAAATAAAAAAGCTATTAAAAATATTTTGTTAATTAAAATGAAGGTGCAAAGAATATAATATAATTCTTAGACGAAAAACTAAACCAAAACAATTAAACTAAACAAACAAAATTAAACTAAACAACTTTGTTATTTAATTCAGCATAACTGAACTATTCCAGGAAGTGGATTAGAACTGCCATGTGCAAAACAAAATAAAGCAAAAAAAAATAAAAAATAAAATATCAAACAAAACAAAACAAATCAAAATAAAAAATTTACATTTATTTTTATTTTGGGGTGAAAAATGACCCTGCACCAGTGTTATTATTATTGTTAACTAAAAATAGCTAAAAACATTTTTGTTAATTAAAATAAAGGTAAAATAAAGAATAATATAATTATTAAATAATTACTAAACAAACAAAATTAAACTAAACAAAAATTTGAAATGTTCCTTGGCCACTAACTGAAACAAGTTTCATTGAAGCACTAAAATTGCTATCTGGAAACAAATAAAACTAACACTATAACTGAAATAAAAAAAAAAGAACCTAAAAAGTAATATTTAAAAAAAGAAAGAAAGAAAATTGACAAAAGCACCAAAAAAAATAAAAAAAATAAAATAAAAGCTAATTCAAAATATTAACAAAACTATAATAGTATAAAAAATAATACTAAAATAACATGCTCTTGAAAAGTTTTATGAGATTAAAACTAGCCGACTTTTATGTGTATATTCTTGTAAGTTTCTGTGATAAAATGTTTGCCAAAAACCCAAACATAAATGTAGGTCAAAATCATTCACTATTCCATGAGCAGATGTTACTTGACGAACTAATTGGTGATTTTGTTGAGGGAAAGCAACAGGTGTCGTTCTGAGAGCAGCTGTGAGTGTGAATGCATGACACTCATTTCCAGTTACTGTTGTATTCACAGTGTGAGATCACACCGGTCAGTCACGGCAGATTGTTAATCGCAGACATTGATGCGTCGTCATGAATCCCAGGTCATTCAGTGGTGACATTCAGTCATGACAGATGGACAATAACAAATAACTTCTCCACACACTGCCGGTTTCCTGCTACCAGGACAGAAACAGGAAGTACACATTGTCTAAAATGCCATGCTTTAACAAAACCACTCCCATATGATCCCATAGTCACTGGCCACACAGGGCATTGAGAGGTGGCTAGAAGCACATGTTCTGTGTAATAAACAGAGCAGTGCAGCTTTTTTCAACATGTTGTTACACACCTGACCTTGAAAACTTTCTATTCTAGTTGCCCAAACAACCCAATCTGGGCTAAATATATATATAGTCATTATTTTTCGAATTGCACTTGTGGTGCAGAAATGACATACTTCTCCTTTACACAAATAGTTCACCTTAAAATGAGCATTTGCTGAAAACATACATCACTCTCAGGCCATCCAAGATGTAAATGAGTTTGTTTCTTCATCAGATTTGGAGAAATGTAGCATTCCATCATTTGCACTCTGCAGTGAATGGGTGCCGTCAGAATGAGAGTCCAAACAGCTGATAAAAACATCACAGTAATCCACACCACTCCAGACCATCAATTAATGTACTCTATGGTGAAGCTAAAATCTGCATGTTTGTAAGAAACACATCCACCATTTAGACATTTTAACTTCAAACCGTCACTTCTAGGTAAAATACGAGTCCATAATCCATTATAACACTTCCTCCAGTGAAAAAAGTCGATCTCCTGTTATCGTCTTGCATCAAAATCTACGCACATATTTGGTTAGAACCACTTTGGACTGTTTCCGCTAGTAATTGTTGCTTGATTTGTGTATATTTCTCTCCTGATTCAGATGAGGCCACTTTTTCACTGGATAAAGCAATATTATGGAAAGAGAACTCATTTTAGCCGGAAGCAACGGTTTAATGATAATGATGGATTTGTTTATAACAAACAAGCAGCTTTTTGCTTCACAAGACATTAACTGATGGATTGGAGTGGTGTGGATTACGTGTGGATTATTGTGATGTTTTTATCAGCTGTTTGGACTCTCATTCTGACGGCACCCATTCACTGCAGAGCATCCATTGGTGAGCAAGTGATGGAATGCTACATTTCTCCAAATCTGATGAAGAAACAAACTCATCTACATCTTAGATGGCATAAAGGGGTGAGTACATTTTAAGCAAATTTTCATTTTTGGGTAAATTATTGCTTTAACAAACACTGCAAACCGATCTGCAAAGATAAAAGCATAATATCATAATGAAGACATTTGCTTCAGGGGCTTTCATTAATACAGCTGAACTCAAGCAGGCTGGCATGCCCGAGGAAACTGTAAAAATGAATGATCTCAGACTGTCGCTTTCATCTTAGAAACAAGAACAGCTGTTTTATTGTAAATTCTCTAGCTAATTTCCTCACAGCTGGTGAAAGTGACTTGTTGTGATCTCAGATCCAATGAAGAACCATGTCTGTTGAGCAATACTGAGCGAAACAGTGCTCTGAGCGACCTGGGAGACGTTGATGAACTATGCAATAAAAATAAATGGTTACATGCAGTATATCTAGATACTATAAAGTCTGTTTAGGGGGTTTTGCTCTTATTTTGAGAGCCACAAGACTCTTAAATTATTTTCCATCAGACAGAACAGATGTAAGGATGTTTACTAAAGTTGCAACCAGTGTAATTTTAGTTTCACTGATATTATAGTTTTAGTTAATATTTGGAATTAATTTTATTTGTATATTTTCTGTTTTCATTTTAATTTTAGTTCAAATTTAAGTTATTTTGTTGATTTTTCTATACATTTTTTTTTATTTAAGTTTTAGTTTTTAGGTTTAGCTTACTTAGTTTTATGGACAAAGAAGCAGTGACCAGTTACAGAATCTGAAATATACTCTCTTTTCCTTTTATATTGTCCTTAAATTCATGTTGATATCACATAGATTCTTTTAAAGTATCTTCAAATATTTAACAAATTTAGTGACATTTCTTGTAAACGCTACATACAAGCTGTGACAACACTGAGATTCTAAGGATTTTCAGCTGATTTCTAAATAAAAACAGACATAGTGCAAAGAGTGAAAGAGATGATTTTGTTTCTCAGTGATTGATGTTTAGTAAAGTCAATTTTGTTAGTACACAAAACCAATTACTAACCTTATTTGTACGTGTTCCGTGTTTAATAGTGACATCATATCCTTGCAAGATTCCATTCAACTTATCAGGGGGTGGAGCTTCCCATCGGATCATCAACATGGAATTGTTCACGTGAACAGTCAAGTTTTGGGGAGCTTCTGATGGAACTGTAAAATTTGGAACAAATTTGGAATTAATTACATCCATGGCCGTAACCAGGGTTTGAAAATGGGTGAGGTCTGGGGTGGGGTTAAGAACTGTGCTATAATAACCCCTACAAATACAACTCATTATATACACTAAACACTTTCAAAGAGACAGACATGTAGATGTTTGTGAAAGATGTTTTTGTCTATTTTTGTCTATTATATCATATTTATTGCATCAAAATTTGTTAATACTATGGGGTGGATAATTTTATCAGTTGTTTATTATTCATGCAACTATACTGTTATAGTTTTCATTAATAACCACTGCTATATAGATGATAACTTTGTCTAGTGCTCTTATGAATGTTTTAGCATGATTGTGAAAATTTAACTACTATACTGAATGAAACAGCATAGACTTCTTTATATTTTATTTAATTCTGTAACTTACTTGTTCTAGATCTGTGTACTAGTGTAAAATGCTACTGTTTTTGATAGCATTGATAATGTTTCTGACAGATTAATATGATGTTTTTTGCGTTTGCCTTACCATATGTGGTAACCTTAAGGCGATAGTGTTTCCAGATATTGTTATGAAAACAAAAACCAAAACCGAAAAATAAATAAAAAATAAATCGAAATTAGTTTAAATCTTTTGTTAATAAGATAAGATAAAGACATTGCTAACCCTAAACTGCGAATTCCCTCTTTATTATCTTTGTAAAGTGTTAAATTAAGTAGAAAAGACAAGTCCAAAGATGCTTATAATAGTTGTATCTGCACTGTAAAAAAAATTCCATAAAATTTATGGTAAAAAAAAATGGCAGCTGTGGTTGCCGGAATTTTAGCGTACAAAATACGGTAGCAACATTTTAGGTTTTACGGTTTTAACTTAAATAATGCAATAAACATTCATTTAACAACATTAGGTGTAACACATAACCCTAATATACAAAACTGATAAGAAAAAACTATGAAGAAAGTTATTTCAACAACAAAAAAAAAGCATCAAATTTGAAATGTAACGCAGGGAATTCTGGGAATGTCAATTTACGGTTATTCACTGTAAATTATACAGTCTTTTTCACTTCCAAAAACGGTTCCATTTTTTACAGTGTGGCAACACGCAAATTACTCGCAACTCTCTCGAGCCTCGTTCACTCTGCAAGCATCTCGCAGCAATCATTTTCATACCACGGACACTAAACATTATCGCAAACTGTTTAACTGAATTATACATGCAGACACTCATATGAGGAGTTCTGAACAGCAAATTATTCATTCAGAGAACAAATTTCATTTTTGAACAAATTTACCGAGGTCCGGACCTCATAGCTGGCTACAGCCATGATTACATGATTTCATTCCAGATAAATCATCTCTTCAGCAGCATGCAAAATATGGACCAAAGAACTACTAAAAAGAATAGAACATGAAGAAAAGAATAGAATAGAATATGAAGGCATGAAAGGACCTTCATAAAATAAAATAATAAAATAATAATATAATAAGAAATAATGGTTCCTAGGCAAAAATCCCAAAGAAAAAGCCATTACGAGAAATATAATTTTTTATAAATTTTTTGTTGATTTAATTAAAAAGATGAAATAAAGTATAAATAGTAGATGAAACACTTAAACTAAATGACAATTAGAAGTGTTTCCTTGGCAACTAACTGAAATAATTTTAAGATGAAACACTAAAATGGTAACAAACTAGAAACAAACAAACAAACAAAAAATATATAAAATAATAAATAAATAAAATAATAAGTAAAGAATAATAACTAAATTAAACCTATGTTGGTAATGTTTTTTAAGTAGTAACTCAATTTCAGATTGTATTAAATTATAAGTATGGTATGACATAAACCATAATGCTTATCGGTGACTGAAAACAGTTCTTTTAGGAATACAGAGGAAATCCTTCACGGACACACCCCATAGGAAAAGCATTTCTAACAACCAGGTCGCTCCCATTCCCATTTGGCATTCGAAAATCTCTTGGATGTGAAAGACATAATTACAGACCACAGTAATTGTCTTCTAGTTTCTATTATTAGCAAAATGGTACTTCTCATATCAACTCTTATGCACTCAACTGCATCTTCCATTTCAAGTTTGTAGAGTTAACATAAGCGATTTTTAACAGCTCTTTACTTTTTTTAACATTGATAAACAGAAATGTTTCCTGTTTCCAAATCAGAACATTAGAATGACCACGGAAGATAATGTGACACTGCTGAAAATTCACCTTTCCATCACAGGAATAAATTACATTTCACAATATATTACAATAACAAACAGTTATCTGAAACTGGAATAATATTTCACAATATTACTGATTTTACTGCATTTTTTATCAAATAAATGCAGCCTTGGTGAGCATAAAAAATGCATTTCCAAAATATTTCGACCTTTTGAATGGTAGTTTTATTTACAAAAATGCAGGAAGTTGCTCCAGGAATGTGAACGACTCACCGCCCTCTGTGGTGTTGCTCTGGACCCAGGCGCTGGGTGGTGACGGGCCGATCTCATTGGTGCAGGACACGCTCATGTTGTACCAGGTCATGGCCTTGAGGTTGCTGATCTCATACTGGAATGGAGGCACGTGTGTGGGGTGTGCGGCAGTGGGGCTTCCTGGCTCCAAAAGCTCTCGCACCTGGAACAGATGAAGGATAACCATTTATTATTTGTTACAGAAATGACAGTCATCATTCAATCAAAGATTTTAGCAGTGTTTCTTCTAGTTTGGAAAGTGTGCTGTTACATTACCATGTGGCGGACGTTAAAATGGGTGTAAAATCTTATATTGAGGGAGAAACCTGAGTCATAACCATTTCTTTAAAGGTGAAAATTTTAGTTTAAAACTTGCTTGGAGCACCAAACAACAAAATCCTGATGCATTATGTTCCTGAGGGGCTTCATCACAATGCAGTGGCCTTGTACAAGTAATGTTCATTCTTTAGTCCTTCTTACCGTGATGTAGCATGTGCTGAGAGGAGAGAAGCCGTCGTGTCCCGGCGTCCAGCTTATGAGGAGTTTGTTGGCCTCACGTTTTACTACTGTGACCTTTGACACTTTGTCAGGAAGCTCTGAAAAAAATAAATAAAAATCAAGGATTTGAATTGAATTCCATGAGGCTTGAGAAAAAGATTCTCGAACAGTGCTCTTATTGTTAACTAAAACTATTTTTTTTTTAATTGAAATGAAACCGAAATAAAATATAAATATGAAGAACGTAGACGTAAAAATCTTAAATGAAAATTAGAAAAGTTTAAGAACTAAAAATACTACAACTAAAATGAAAATAAAAATAAATTAAATTACATTTACAAATCTAAAATTAAACATATCCTGGTGGGTTGTAAGACCAGCCTGACACAGGGAAGGTACACATGGCGCAGTGGTGTAGTCTGGTTTATTGTAGTGAGTATACTGTGATTTTTCCCTCCAAGCCTCATACTCACCCATCCCAGGGCAACACCCCATAAGCACCACCACACTCACTAAACAGGGCTCTGCGCTTACTTTTATTTCTAGGAGCACTTGTGCTGCTAATTAAAAAAATAATAATAATAATTAGGAGTACAGTCAAAAAATTCAGGAGCACCTTCTGATCAATAACAAAAATAAGCCTTTCCATTACGAAGTAACATTGGACTCCTTAAAGTGATTTACAGGGGCATTTTTTCAACTTTGTAATGGCATTTTTTCTAACTTTATTGAAAGTATGTTATCTTTTATGTCAAATTCAGAAGTGTATTTTTATACGTTTTTTTTTTCACAATTTCTAATTAAAACAATGGAATAAGAAGAATAAGTTACCGATCAAATAAAATCAGTATTAAAGGGGTCATCGGATGCCCATTTGATATAAGTTGATATGATTCTTTAGGGTCTTAATGAAAAGTCTATAACATACTTTGGTTAAAATTTCTCAATGGTAGTGTAAAAAACACCCTTTTTACCTTGTCAAAATGAGCTCTGTTTTCAGCATGTCGTTCTAGTCCATGTTGCTTTAAATGCTAATGAGCTCTGCTCACCCCACCCCTCTCTTCTGTGGGGTGACAAGCCGTTCTCATGACGCTGTTTACTTTAGCCGCGAAACTTGCTAACTAGCACATATTAGGAAAGGCGATTTGCAAAGATTCATAAAAAAACGTATACTCACTTCTTGTGTAGATGAAGCTCGATCACGAATGATTCGCGCGAACATATTTAGGCAGATCGGGGATCGGCATATTCCCTTCAAAACGAAAGTAACGTTAATCCTCTGCGTCTTCAGCGGCTCAGATGTCGGGAGTAAATGACGACTGCTATGTTCATTATTACATCAAACAACAAAACACCTCAATCGCTTTAATCAGAGACATTCTTGTCTTCCCCTGCACCGGAGTCGACACAATGGCGGACTGATGACAGCTCACTCAGGGCGGGTCTAAGGTAAGACGGCCTTGTCAATCAACTATCATGGGAGGGGCCTGTGCAGAACTATGTCGTTCTGACAGGAATCTCAGAACAGCCAGATCTGAGAAAGGGGATTTTAAAACAGGGATTTTAAAAAAACCACTGGGTGGATTTTTATCATTATAGGACGGATGTTTACACTCACTTCCAGCACACATTTATGTTCAAACAACAACAAAAGTGAATTTTGCATCCGATGACCCCTTTAACAAAATGTATTTGTACTACAGAGGTGGCACAGAAGAACACAGCATGTAGGTATATTTAATGAGGCTCAGAGATGGCATGAGTGCAATTAAATTAATAAATTCATGTTGAGATAAATTTTTTTAATATAAGATTTTGAATATAGAAATATTCAATGATTTAAATAACTGAAATGATACTTTAAGAATGAAACTAAAACTGCCGTTAGGTGGCGGCAAGTCACTGATTTTATCACTGAATAATTAATTCAATTGATTCGTTCAAACAGCTGATTAATTCAGGAACAAAGCAAGTGACCGTCTTTATGAATGGGTAATTGAATCATTGACTCACTAGACGTTTAAAAACGCAGATTCATTCATAAATGAAACACCGCTGTGTTTGAATGGAGATGTGCAGCGGCTCAGCTGTGACTTTGTTTGAAACTATTTTTGTTGACGAAATAGAGCAAAATCAGGCAATACTGTTATAGACAGACAATGTAAGTCACTTAATATTAACTTTTTGTTTATTGAAATCACTTGTTGTTGCCAACAATCCCCTGCTGTTAGTTACGTTAATGATAACGTATGTGCTACTGTGACACAGCAGGTAACGCTACGATAGCATCGGCCTCGTTTTCTGTACCGCGTAGGATAGTATCAGCCTTATCTGACTCATTTTCTGTAGTTTATAACGTTAACGCTGGTGTCATCTGCTTGCAGTGTCACCTGATGCAGCAGCAGCTTCAGGGGCAGGCTTACGAAACACTGCTGATCTCCTTTAGTGATTCACATTAGTTAATTTCAAGCTTGCGCACACACAATGCTGCGCAAAAGTTACACAATAGCAATAGTCGTCAGCAGAAATATGGCGTGATTTTCAAAAAGTCAGTGCTTCGTAATACAGACAATGAATTTATGAATGAACATGTGAAAGGTCTTTTACAAAACGATGTTGTTACGTATCCTCGCGCTTTTTTAAGTGGGTATACGGAAATCCTTGAACTTTCCTAGTGGGTATATGCAGGGCCGCATTAAGACCTCATTCACACAAAAAAAATACTAGCTCAAGTAAAACCAAGCTTACTGAACAAGTAAACAGTCACAAATTATAATAGCATAAAGAAAAAAATTAATAAGAAATATTATATTGTATAAAGTAAATGTACAAATAGACTGAATAGTCTTCACTGTATAAATTCAA